AAGCTAGAGAATATGGAGGGCATTTTTGTAAACAACTATTTTTCTTTAAAATTATGCAATGCATTTATAATTTTAATACACCACACCAAACAATAGATAAGAAATAATATATGCATAACTAATGCTTGCATTACTAACCCATGCATTACTAGTCCATGTATTACTAATACACCTTATTCCGTATTATTCTTATACACCCTACCAAACGACCCCTAAGTGTTGAAGTCGAGCAAGTTGTAAAACAAAAGTCGGCAAAAGGTATCACAAGTTATATTCATAAGTTTACTGAAATTTGGGTCTAATGTCACTAAGCTTTTCTCACAATATACTTGAAGTTACGGGGTGATCCACCTACCAAATTAATGATCTATGAGTCTAGATTTTAATTTATTAAAATATTTTTCTATACAACATCGGGGCAGGGAGATATAGGTATTTTAGTGAAACCGTGTAGGTAGCCCCATTGGGACCCACATAGGCGATAGATATTATTTATGATGCTATTAAGAAGGGAAGCCCTTTCCCCACTTTATTTTTTCATCCAAAACAGAACCCTAAGCTCGATAAATATTCTCAAAGAATCTCCCTATCATTCAAGTATATCCCACCAAGGTTATGAGGTAATTCTTCCTTCGGAAAATCGTAGTACTTGTATAAGCTTGTTCTTTTATTGTTGTAGTTGATTTGTGGATTCCTTCAAGTTGAAGTAAGCTCACGTTAGGGGTTGTTATTGTTGTTTTAGGTAAGAATCCCCTTCTACATATATTTGAGAATATCTAAGTCTTTTTTAAGTTGTTGAAGTAAGAACTTGTTAAATCAACTGTCGAAAGTCGTATATAGCTTGCTGTATTTGCTGGACTATTTTGGAGTTCCTATATATTGTCTTATGGATGGAAAACATGAAGTAAGACTTGAGTATGTTGTATTTGTTGTTGCTATGTACCTTGAAAGAAAGAAAGTTTTAAAGTATAACTGCTAGTTGTAGCCCGAGCTTGTTGCGTCATTTGTGTAGATTGAAGAGCTAAACATGTAGTTGTTGGTTTTTGTGATTGTTGCTGTTATTGGGAAACTGAGGATATCAAAAGAAACAAGGGAGATGATACTTGTTTTGTTATAGAATAATCTTGGTGTTCGATATATGATAGTGATATCTTTTGTAGCTTGGTGATAGAATCATTATCATTGATTGTAGATTGAGGTCCTGTTCAAATTAAGCACATTGAGTTGTTGAAAAATTGACGAAAAGTATGTAATGGCTATTTCTCTTCTTTCAATGGAATGTATCCATAGTTAAGTAAGTTCAAAACAAAGTATACCCAAAAAAAGTCATTTGTAAAGATCTCATGTTGTGTTTTTCCATCTTGCTCATGATGTAGCTATCTCTTGTTTGGAATTCCTATTCAGTTTAACATTCTTCTATGTCTAGTTAAGAAATAGAGAGTATACATGTGTCATTTAATGTAGTACTATAAGCCTACGGGGATAGACATATGGGTGTCATGCCTTCGGAGCTAGACCGTTGCCTTCGGGGATATACTTTTGCCTACGGAGCTATACAGTAGCCTGTGGGGCTATACATATACACACTAAGCCCTATATGAGGCCGGATAGTTTGTTTCGGTATTATTTATATGATATGAGTCGGGTAAGTATATTTCTAGATTATCATTGACTCCTCAGATTACATTCATGATATCATGGCTATCGATTCAGTTTCAGTTTCAGTTTCAGTTATTCAGTTGTCTTTTACATGCTTGATATATTTTTTCGTACTGATGCCCCTTTTGTCGGGGTTGCTGCGTTTCATGTCTGCAGGTCCTGAAAGTTAGAGAGATAAGCCTCAGCATTAGGCGCGCCGGTATATAGCTTGATTGGTAAGCTCCACCCGAAGTTACCAAGTCTAGAGTTTTAATTGTATATTCAGACAGTATTTGTAGGGGCTTGTAGACATGTCTTGTGTGTATAGATATAAGCATGGTGGCCTTGTCGGCCATTGTTTGTATTCTCTTTTGATTGTATAGGTTGACATTACTCATGTTGTCCTTGTCGGCCTAAGCAGAGTCATATATGTTCACATAATACAAGTTTCACTTGGTACGCTTGCACCGGGTGCCGGTATCGCCTCCTCAGATTTGGAGCACGACAAAACATCCTATTTTACTAATTTTATCTTTAATGGAAAGCTTCTATCGCCACAAAATGTCATGGTCTCATAAAGTTTTTGCCTATTAAGCTTTTAAGACCACAAGTTTCAAAACTCATTTTTTTCTTAAATTTCGTGCTAAGTCAAACTGTCTCATATAAGTTAAAATTAAAGGAATATTTAACTATTACCGCAATTAATGTCTTCAAACCTGCCACCATTATGATGTAACCAGGGGAAGAATTGTAGCTGGTCAAGGGTATCAGTTGAATATTTTTTGCCTGGAGATTATTCTACCTATATAGGTCAAATAACCTTTAAAATTTTTAATACTTAACCAAATTAGATAACCATTGAAGGGAAAGTGTCATTTTAGGAAATTCCAAGATAATATTTTGCAAATGCAAATTCTGCCCTTGAGCAGATAATTTGAATTATATATAATTATATCATAATCGTGGCAACTTGCAAGTTCAATAATATTGCAGCACCATGGTAGCTTGCTTTGATGCCTTAACTATGCTGCCGTTAGGGGCGGACCCGCATGGTGTCAAGGGGGTTCAATTCAACCCACTTCGCTAAGAAATTACACTGTGTATATTGCTAAATTAAACTTGAAATGGCAAAAACACGTATAGAAGTAAAGTTTGAACCCGCTTTAACCAAGTTGTGGCCTTTTGAGGTGGTAAAGAGGATTCAAATGTATGGAAGGTGTCGTGTTCGGGTCCCATTTGTGGCACTTGTACATTTTGTTTTGTGATCTCTAGTGGGCCGGAGTTGTGTGCGTACAAGACAAATTGTGGGCGATGTGCAAAAATAGCCACTAATAGCACCTGTCTTTATTTTAAAGCCAGGGTTTTAAATGTCTAGTCTTTAGCCATTGGTTTAATAAACTTATACCTGACTGGATGAAAATACCCTTCTGCTATAACTTATACCTACACTTTTATTAACGATCAGCAGCGGCGGCAGCAGCGCTAACTACTTCACTGTGATCGTCGAAATTGCAGAAGATTCTCTTCCGATTTCAAACTATAGAATTCAACCTTCTCGTCCAAAAATCGACATATATTTAAAATAAGTTATACTTTTGTGTGTTTCTATTGATTTTTATTTCGACATAGTTATACTTTTTCCGATTTCTATTGATTTTTATACAGTAAGTAGAAATTTGATTTTTTTTTTTGAATTTCTAGATTGATAAGGTTAAGGACATCGCGTCCTGTGATAATTCTATAAAAATTGAGCACATAATATTAAGGACATAGTGTCTTGATTTCGCAAATTGAATTGAAAAAGTTAAGGACACAATGTCCTTAACTTTGTTGTTGTTCTTCTGTATATTAAGGACATAGTGTCATAGTTTTGCAAATTGGTTTGAAAAAGTTAAGGACACTTGGTTCTGAAGTTTGAGTTTCAAGTTGAAAAGTCCAGGACACTTGGTCCCGAACTTTGACTTACATGTTCAATATTTAAGGACACTTGGTCCTTAACTTACAGTTATAAGTTAAAATATTAAGGACAAGTAGTCCTTAACTTCAAGTTTCAAGTTCAATAGTTAAGGACATTTTGTCCTGAACTTTGACTTGCATGATTAATAGTTAAGGATACTTGGTCCTTAACTTAGAGTTCCAAGTTTAAAAGTTAAGGACACTTGGTCCTTAACTTTGCGTTTCAAGTTCAAAAGTTAAGGACACTTGGTCCTTAACATTGCGTTTCAAGTTCAAAAGTTAAGGACAGGAGTCCTTAAGTTTGACTTGCAGGTTTAAAAGTTAAGGACAGGAGTCCTTAAGTTTGAATTACAGGTTCAAAAGTTAAGGACAGGCAGTCCTTAACTTTGAATTCAAAGTTCAAAAGTTAAGGACACTTGGTCTTGTACTTACAGTACTTGTTCTTAATTATACAAGGATTGCTCTATAAAATATGTCCTGAGTTTCCCATTCTCTTTACTTGCAGGATGAGAAAAATGCATTATAGTTGTTTTTAATGGTAGATGGACTGAAGACTATAAGTATCTTGATCATCAAACAAAGCTTGTTCTAGTACCTGAGGCAATTCGGTTTCAAGATTTCATTAAACAGATCTTTGAAGTTATTGAATTGGATAGAGACAAGTTTGAAGTAGTGATATGGTTTGATATCAACCTTGGAACAAGCAAGGGAATACTTATATCCAAAGATTTAGATCTTCATACATGTATAGAGTTACTAAAAACTCATTCACTCTTCAAGGGCTATCGTTTCATTGTTGATATTTTGGAAAGAGTTTTTGGATCAACAAGAAACTTTGAACATGTCAATAGAGAAACTCAACATGACAATCAAAACAAATGCCAACAGATAATGAAAATAGATATGGTTGAACCTCAACCAATAACTGAAGAGGTGCTTCAAACACATGTCAACAGAGAAACTCATCATGACAATCAAAGAAATGCCAACAGATAATGGAAATAGATATGGTTGAAGCTCAACCATTTGATTCTATTCAAGTAGAAGAACAAAGCATTATAGAGATTGACAACGAATAAGCTTTGGGTATTCAAGTCTTAGAGAGTGCATCGGTAATCGAAGAAGTTGCTGAAAAAACCTCTACTCAACTAACTAGACGATGATCAAATTTGAAACAAAAAGAATCCCCAACTACGATATTAAGAGAAAATGCTTCGTTAGATGAAATAAAAGTGGGATCAGCATTTGACAAAAAGAAGAGTATAATTAACTATTTTTCGAGTATAGCAATTAAAGGACATTTTGAATTCAAGGTTGCTAGATCAAGCTCAACAAGATATTCATTGAAATGCAATGATGATAGGTGTGGGTGGTGTGTGCATGCTTTCAGAATTAAATATTCAACAATGTTTAAGATAGTAAAGATTGAGAAAAAGCATGACTGCTCTGTTAACACTATGAAAGCTGATCAAAGGCATGCAACTTCAAGATTGATTAGTGGTTATATTATCGACAATCTTCGAGACCTAAGGTTTGAAGTTACACCAGCTTTTGTCATGGCAGAGATGCAAAAATTGCATGGACTAGACATTAGGTATCACAAGGCGTGGCGTGCTATTCAACTTGCTTCCGCTTTAATAAGAGGAACTCCTGAAGAGAATTATTAATTATTGTCTTCATACTTGTATATGATGAGAAGTAAAACCCGGGAACATATACTAACATAAAGATAGACGACAACAATAGGTAAACAATCAAAAAAAAGTTTATTAGTTCATTTTATAAAATTTAGGACATGCCGTCTTTAACCAGATAACTTTTGAGCTTGTAACCAGAAGTTCAGGACTGGCTGTCCTTAACTTTTGAACTTGTAATTCAAAGTTAAGGAATGTCTGTCCTTAACTTTTGAACTTTGAATTCAAAGTTAAGGGCTGCATGTCCTTAACTTTATAACTTGTAACTCTAAGTTAAGGACTGACTGTCCTTAACTTTTGACCTTGTAAGTCTAACCACAGGACTACTTGTCCTTAACTTTTGGCCTTGTAATCTGAAGTTCAGGACTACCTGTCCTTAACTTCTGTTAACCTTGTTTTATACTGTATTTTTAGGTTTGTTTATATGTTTTATGCATATGTATCATCAATATCTAGTTGGAATCATTGTAGACCAGTGATTGTTGTTGGTGAAACTTCTTTGAAGTCAAAATTTCATGGTGTTTTAGTGATTTCAGTTTCAAATGATGCAAATAACCAAATTTTCCCACTAGCCTTTGGAATAGCAAAATCTGAAAATAACAATTCCTATGAGTGGTACTTTAGTCAGCTTCGCAATACAATTGGGAGCTGTGAGAATTTAATTTTTTTATCAGACAAGCATCAAGTTATTGCATATGGCATTGCAAAGGTATATCATGAAAGCCATCATAGGATTTGCATCTATCATTTGGAGCAGAACCTAAAGCAAAGGAAAGTGAAAAGTGAGGTCATAAAACTTTTCCAAAGTGCTGCAAGAGTATACAGGCGCAAAGAATTTGATCTATACATTTCAGATATAGCAAAAGTAGATAAGAACACTTATGACTACTTGATGGAAGAACCACCGGAAAGGTGGGCACGTTCTTGTAGTCCACGACGAAGATATGACATGCTCACAACAAACATAGTTGAGTCAATGAATTCTATCCTGTTAGAAGCAAGGGAGCTGCCTATATTAAAAATGATGGATTTCATTCAAGTGAAGCTACAACGTTGGTTTTATGAAAGAAGAAATGAAGTAGAAGGAACTTTTTATGATGTTTCTTATTGGGTATAGGAGGAATTGAAGAAAAAGATAGATTTAGCATTTACTTTGAATGTAAGTATTATGTTCTATGTTTAGCGTATGATTTTAATATAATTTAACATAATGTACTAACTTATAATTTTTCAACATTGAAGGTCTTCCCTGTTGATTCATAGCGTTCTAGAGTTGAAGAAGAAGGAGTAACTTTCTTGGTGGACTTAAACAAAAGAACATGTGATTGTTTTCAGTTTAAATTTGATGAATTACCATACATACATGCAATTGCCGCTATCGAGAAGAGAAACATCAAGAAGTCCAACTTTTGCTCGCACTAGTACTTAAAGGAATCTTGGCTGAAAACATATGAAAGAAAAATACATCATGTAGGACATACTGTTTCTTGGATTGTACTAGAGAGTGTTAAGTCACAAATTGTTAAACCTCTAGATTTCAAAGTGCCACCAGGTAGAAGGTAGAAGAAAAGGCATATTCCAGCTACCGAGTCATCAAAAAAAACATTCTAATGTGGTCGTTGCAGAAGAATTGGTCATAATAGAACAGCTTGTATATATTCTCTGGCAGTCCATCCATTTTCAAGAAATCATAGAGAATAGTAGATATATCCACTTATGTTTATCAACTCTTTTAAGTTTTTGCTATAAATTGGATTCATTTAGATTATCCTTATTTGAGCAGATATCTGAATTTTCAAATTTCTTTCTGCTTACGTTCTTTTTGTTTCTTTTGAGTTCAAAGTTTAAAAGTTAAGGATAGGAGTTCTTAAGTTTGACTTGCGGGTTCAAAAGTTAAAGATAGACAGTCCTTAATTTTGAGTTACAGGTTCAAAAGTTAAGGACATGCAGTCCTTAACTTTGAGTTCAAAGTTCAAAAGTTAAGGACTGTCTGTCCTTAACTTTGAGTTTCAAGTTCAAAAGTTAAGGACAGGAGTCCTTAAGTTTGACTTGCAGGTTCAAAAATTAAGGACAGACAGTCCTTAAGTTTGAATTACAGGTTAAAAAGTTAAGGACAGGCAGTCCTTAAATTTGACTTGTAGGTTCAAAAGTTAAGGACAGTCTGTCCTTAACTTTGAGTTTCAAGTTCAAAAGTTAAGTACAGGAGTCCTTAAGTTCTACTTGCAATCCTTAACTTTGACAGGCAGTCCATAACTTTGAGTTACAAGTTCAAAACTTAAGGACTGTCTGTCCTTAACTTTGAGTTTCATGTTCAAAAGTTAAGGACATGAGTCCTTAAGTTTGGCATGTAGGTTCAAAAGTTAAGGACATGCAGTCCTTAAGTTTGAATAACACGTTAAAAAGTTAAGGATAGGCAGTCCTTAAATTTGAGTTCAAAGTTCAAAAGTTAAGGACTGTCTGTCCTTAAGTTTGAGTTGCAGCTTCAAAAGTTAAGGATGGGAGTCCTTAACTTTGAGTTTCAAGTTCAAAAGTTAAGGACATGCAGTCCTTAAGTTTGAATTACACGTTCAAAAGTTAAGGACATGCAGTCCTTAACTTTGAGTTCAAAGTTCAAAAGTTAAGGACACTTGGTCCTTAACTTTGTAATTCAATTACACTTAGTCATGAACTAATAATACTAACAAGCTCAATGGACAAATCAACACTTGAGAGAAACAAAGAAATTAATAACATGATGCCTTCATATTACTTCTAAAATTTTAATTTTGCATAGTTGTGACATAAAATTATGCTATGCAATCAAAATATAAGTGCCTTTTGAGGAATTTACAGAACATTTCAGAATTCATATGGATTCTTTACAACAATTTTATACAAAAAGATCAAGCACAACTAACTTTCTTTACTACTAAACTTCAACTCATTCGGACATCAAGTTTCATTTTCACTCTCATAGTCATCGCCAACATTTTCTGGTGGTGTATCATAACCAGAATTTCTTTTCCACTCACCATGTGCCCAAAGATTTGCAACAAGTTCTTTTCTAAAGTCTTTTATATCTTCAGGTTGGAATTTCTCCATATCCTTTCCAATCATCAACAACTCCACATACTTGATCAGGATTGCACCACAATCAGTCCTAAGAAAAATATAAGATATGGAGTGAATTAAACAATAAATCTAAAGTACATATAAATTATATAACAAATAACAACATGTACGATCCAGTTTGGTGTGGTGATCTTTGCCACTGAATATCAAAATTGTTGAAGTCATTTCCAAAAAACTTGTGATGTTTGTCAAACTATAAGAACTTTAGCAAGTGGAGGATCATGTGTGCATACATTTCCATGTGATTCATTCCTGCCTCATATGTCTCACTGTATATGGAATCGTATACATCAATCTTTTTCTGATTCAAGTCCAATACCCCCAAAAGAAAGTGTGTCACAGCATTATCATCTTCTGAAGGAAGCCGACATGGAAAAAGATTTTGTCAACCTTTGTCCAAGGAATTCCACATCTACGACTGTCCCCCCACCCATATGGAATCAGAAACAACTGATTATCACCACACTAAAACTCATCAGGAGCATCTTCACTGAAATCCTTATACGCAAGCACCATATAGTTATCAAAAAGAATATTTGTAGTTGTGCAACGAGAAAAGGATGGTCACGAGGGTGGTAGCATTCCTTCTTTCTCAGATAATATAGGGCAATGTCAATATGCTTCATAAAAAGGCAAAAAATAAAACAAATCTACCAGTCATTAAATAATTAAAAAATTATAAATTAAGAATAAAGAGAATAAATGCCTTGCGAATTATCAAACCTTATCAACAAGTACAAAGCTACTATCTGGAAGCTCAAGGAAGAACATTTTGCTACTGATTTTTTGATGATACAATTTGTATGGATTCTTTCTCACACCATTATCATCAGTATATATATCAGTTTGTCCCCTGAAAAGTTTGAAAATATCAAAGTTAGAAGTTAGTCCTGAACGTAGCCTTTCAAGTTGAAAAGTTAAGGACAGACAGTCCTTAAGTTTGAATTACAGGTTCAAAAGCTAAGGACACTTGGTCCTGAAGTTTGAATTTCAAGTTCAAAAGTTAAGGACACATGGTCCTAAACTTAGACTTAGAAGTTCAAAAGTTCAGGACACTTTGTCCTTAACTTAGACTAACAAGTATAAAAGTTAAGGACATCCAGTCCTTAACTTATAGTTCCAACTTCAAAAGTTAAGGACAAGAGTCCTTAAGATTGACTTGCAGGTTCAAAAATTAAGGACATGCAGTCCTTAAGTTTGAATTACAGTTTTAAAAGTTAAGGACAAGTAGTCCTTAACTTTGAGTTCAAAGTTCAAAAGTTAAGGACACATGGTCTTGAACTTTGATTTTCAAGTTCAAAAGTTCAGGACACTTGGTCCTGAACTTTGATTTCCAAGTTGAAAAGTTAAGGACACTTGCTCCTTAATTTTGATTTTCAAATTCAAAAGTTAACGACACTTGGTCCTAAACTTAGACTTACAATCACAGAAGTTAAGGACACTTAACTTTAGCAATTTCTATATCAATACACTTAATCCTAAAATTTAAAATTACAAGTTAAGGACACGAATTTAAGCAATTATCAAATAATGAAATACATTAAGGGACTTACTGTTTTTTGCGACCTTTCCTTTTCTCATTGCCCAACCACACAATGAATTTCTTCACTACTTTTGCATCATCTTTGGCATAATGAAAAATACATTTACTAGTATATGTTGATTTTATCCAGCCTGAACTCTTGGGAGTATTTTCATTGTGTGCCATCGATGTTCCTATTTTTCTTTCCTGATCAAAAGGAGATTTCAACTGCCAACTAAGCTTCTTGTTCCTTTTACCTCGACCAAGCTCTTCTTCAACATTTCCTTCAACCTCCATAGACAAACCCCCATTAATGCTCATTTGTGTACTTGGAGGAGTAGGAGTAAGAATAGAAAATGACGGACCATCATAACCAATACTATCTCTCTTTCTTTTCCTCGTATATTGGTTAAGAGCTTCATCGCTGTTTTCCTCTGCAGACCACTATATATATATATATATATTAGTTTGCTGCAAGTCGTCAAATGAAGAGACAAAAACTAAGAACATTTTTTTTGAAATGTACTGCCATTTTCAATTATGAATATATTATTTAGGACACAATCAATACCTGTCTTGTTCACACTACCTTCGTGTGTTTTTTCAACAGACAATTGAGCTAACACATTGGTTGCATCATTTTCTTTATCTTCCAACTGTACATTTTCTTTATCTTGCAATTGTTCTCCATGTTCTTCAGTTGTAAGTTCACAAGATTTTGCAAAATATTTACAAGAACTAACACAATTAGTACTTGTTAAATCATCATCTTCACTAGCATCCCAGTTAAATTAAAAACACATTGTCTAACCGTTTGCAATTGTCAAGATCATCCCAGTTAAATCATCATCTTCACTAGCATTTTCTTGGCTTACAATATTGTCGGTAAGAGAGCGAGGTGTAGAGAGATCACATGTTCCATCTATGCATTTGGAAACAATCTCACTTCTGCTTATTCCTTTGATATTTTCTATGTCTTGAGATTGTACTCCACTTTTCTCTTGATACTCCACTCCAGCTTCTTCCCTTGTAGCTTCAAAAGATTCTGTAACATTTGCAAAAAATACCCATTCTAATAATTTACTAAAACTAACATTCAATATATCATGAAAATTTCATCTAACCTTGATTGGCACAACTTTGAACTCCAAATTTCTCTTTATATGAGAAAGGTATAGATAGATCATATGTTCCTTCTAAGCATTTGCATACAATCTCACTGACACTTGTTCCTAATGGACTTTTTAAATCCTCCTGAGATTGCAATCCACATTTACGAATTTTTTCTGTTACTCCTTTCGCTTTTGGATTTTCTTGAACTTCCACTCCATCAATAGATTCTACAAATATTTGTAATCACAACTAAGTTTATATGTATTATGCCGTTGAATATAAATTTGGATGAAAAAAAATTGAAAATCTATATCTAACCTTTCCCGATATCAGTGACGTTATCAGTTTCATTATCTAGATGTGCATCTCTA